TTGCCTGCCTGCCGATTGCCTGCCCTTGGTCTCCCCTTGGTGGGGCAAATTAACCGACGTGTCTCTGGAACTTGCGGTCACTTTTAAACCGTTCGCGTGGACGGACTGGGGCTACCCTGAGCAGAATCGCCGCGGAGAAATACGGCGACGCCAGGGTCCGCGCCCAATTGTTGCCAACCTGCGCAACGGAAGTTGATGAAGGCAAGAACCGTCTTCGAGCCTTGAACATGGACACTTGCGTTGAACGGCCCGTTCCCCCATCGTCCAGGGGGCGAGAGACGGTGCGCCCAAGATTCGCTGCATAAAAGATTCCACTGCATCTTCAGTGAATCGCGCGGTTGTGCGTAGCGAAAGGACTGCCCCAGACACACTTGACTCGTTGGTAGCACTCGTGCGCCACGCATCTGTCGGCCATCGTCGCGTCGCCATGCGGTGGAGAAGACGATTTCAGGCATGCCTTTAAGACTCTGCCAATTTGTAGCAGCCACTTGCCTCTGGCAGTGACGGCGTGGCCAAAAGCAGTCGCTGAAGGCCGCGCAATGCAATGTCTTTGCTTGCCGTTTGGCTCGCCCGCCTCTGTCTCTGGGTGGGGCCGCTTCGACTTGACGGTGCGGGGCGTCCTCGCTGCGTTGTTTCACTTGTTGTATTTGCGTTTTGTCGACGACATGGACGCGCCTGCGGACGATGGAGATTCACTTGTTGGCCCACAGGGGTCAGCTCGACTAGCCAGGACTGTCGTTTGGGAATTGCTGGGCTGGGAACTGGACGCTGGCAAAGCTGTCACCGATGCCGCCAGCGCGGCCATTGTGGGCGTGAGCGTCCACTTTGACGACGCAAAGCAGCTCATCAGTTTTTCCCTCGAACCAGAAAGACTAGAAAATCTCTGCGCACGCCTTCCGCATGGGCGAGAGGCGCGGCGCCCCCGCGCCTCCGTTGGGCGAGGAAGACACACGGCGCCGCCTGACTTGGCCAGACTGGACCACACCGAAGGGCCCAGCCTGGCAGGGGCGCCGGCCCAAACCCAGCGGAACGCACAGGGCGGCAGTGGGTGGGCGACGGCGGCTCCAGCCGCGCGCGCAAGCACCAACCCAACAGGACGAAGCAACGCCACGGAGGCGATGGCAACGGCTGCCACCAGCCGGGCCCGCGCGAGCGGCCATTGCAAGCTGCAGCGCCTGGCTGCCTTCCAAGCCCAGCCAACCAACCAGCCGAGCGAGAGAAAGCAGCAGCGCCCAGCCGCCAGCCAAGGCCAATCAACCAACCAACCAGGCCCCGCGGAGCAGGAACGAGCCGCCGCGCACGGCCGCCGCGCCCAACCAGCCAATCAGCCGACGCGGAAGCCAGCCAACCAAACCAACCAACCAGCCAGCTTAGGCACGAGAAGAGGGAACGGCATGGCATCCCCACACCGACGTCCACCAGCCGCGCGCGGCCACCGGCTGCGAGCACCGAGAGGACCCCAATCCTCCATGCCACTGAGGCACCGCCAAGCACATAGAACCACTGGCAAGGCCCTGGAGGCCAAGAGGTAAGGAGGTCACTTATGGGCCACGCTGGAGATTGTCCTGCCCTCCAAAATCCAAAAACGCTGCGCGATTCTAGGGGCGATGAAGATCTCTGCGCACGCCTTCCGCATGGGAGAGAGGCACGGCGCCCCCGCGCCTCCGTTGGGCGAGGAAGACACACGGCGCCGCCAGACCGGGCCCGACTGGACCACACCAAAGGGCCCAAGGCCTCCAGGAGGGCTGGGGCTGGCGGCGATGAGCCGAGGAGGCACGCCTCGGAAATGACTGTTTTCCACGACGCCCAACGCATGCGAGCGTGCCTAGCCGCTTTCGCCGCCACTTGAGTCTGAGTGCTCGACCAGCCACTCGGCAGCGGCCAGGGCCCCTCGGGACTGCGCGGCGGCGCACCCGAAGGCAGCCAGGCCTCTCCAGCCGCCGGACCAGAAGAACGCTGAAGTCCCCCCGGCCCGCAGGGCATCATCTGCGAACCCCCTGCGGAACGCGCGGGCCCCCCAGTGCTGGGCGCCCTCGAACTGCAACGCTGTAGCCGCCGCCCTGAGGAAAGCCAGCGCCTCTGAGTACCGCACGTGCGAGAAAGGCTCTGGACACTTCTCGGCCGCCCGCCGTAGCGCGCACACGCCGCGCAAGGATTGCGCCCTCCTGGGTGCACTTGCGCGACACCTCCACGGGCGTACGGTAGCACTTCCGCTGCATAAATGCAACCACCACCTCGGAACCAGCGCCGGATCCGACAAAGTGGATAGATGCAGATTGAGCTCCGAGAGATAAGGTTTCAGAATACCTCAAGCAAAAATGCCGCGAAACAGCCCACGACCATCCGATATCTTGGCGGCCTGCCTTTCCGGCCAAGCTACAAGTTCGCGGGTCTGGGCAACAGTGGCCCAAACGCGAGGCCTCGCCTGGCCTGCCATGGCCTTTTCGGCGCCTTTCACAAGCCGGGTAGTATCTGCGAGATAGCCAGGCGAAGCGCGCAGCGTGGCGCGGCGGCCGGCCCTGCGGCAGGCTGCTCTGTCTGTTGGCGCGTCCGTGGCACGTGGTGCACCAGCCCTGCAAGTCCACGTTCAGCAGCGTCGCGGCCGCCGCCACAGCCGCCGCACGGCGAGAGCAACACCCCGGGCGCCGGAGGGGCGTCCAGCTCAGGCGACAGCGCCAAGCTCAACCAGATCCGAGCTGAGCTGGAGGCGGCGCGCGCCGAGACGAGGGCGATCTGGAGCGCGAGGCCAGGAGCGCGCAGAGGCTGGAGATCAGGCTCAACGAGATGCGAGCACGACGAGCCGCTCGGCTCCGCAGGGAGAGGAGACCGACCAGCGCGAAGAGAGCGAAGCCAGCCAGGAGCGTGCCCCTTCGGAGGAGCCGCCGGCTGAGCAGGAGAAGCGGCACCGCCGTGCGCGGGGCGCACTACCAGCGCCGCTGCCGCCCGGCTACCCAGCGCGCCCGCCGGGGATGCGAAATTCGAGAACCTAGAAGAGGAACGCGGACTCAACTCTGGCACGGCTCTCAATGACTTTCGAGACCACGTGCACCTGACGCTAGCACGGTTCGAAATAGCCCGCTACGAAGCTGAAGCCGCCGGCTGCAACACCCCCAACTTCCAAACATTAGCAGCAATTCTATTCAGAGCTCTTGGACTGGGGACGTCGCGTGCACAACAACTCCTGCAGCCTCTGAAACACCACATGCCGAGGGACCAAGCACAATTTGACGCTCTACTTGCACGTATGAGGTCATATGCTCACACGGCTGGGAGAACCCCTGGCAATACTGGTAGAATTTTTAGCCACGGTCATCGAACCGAGACTTTTCACGAAAAGGCCAACGCGGCAACCTGCCAACAATGTCTGGAACGACGACATACCGCCAACTGAAACCACTACACTGTTGGCTCAGAATGGCGGAACGGCTTCGGGGTCGCAAGGTCCTGGGCCAGATCTGGGGAACCGCCCGACGCGGTTTCCCCTATGCAAGCTATGACCCTAATGGGCTCAGCAGGGCAGTCCGCCGAGTCCGACTCCGACTCCGGCACCGATGCGGATGCGTCGTCCGATGATGAAGCTACCGCCTCGGATTGCTCTGATATGCCTACATGCCTCACGGAAAGGCAGCAAGCTCGATGGTTATTTTTGGGTTATGAAAAACACAAGCGTCGTTGGCGGAGGTTCATAAAAAGAACAGTCAGAAGAGTGAGACGTCGGACACTTAAAGGAAACGGCAAGGGTCGAAGTAAGGGCAAAGATAAGCGTCGGCGACTACATGGTAGAGGCATACTTGCATTCCTGGCCTTTCTCACTGGACCTCAGTATGAGGAAATGTTCTTAGGCGCTGGCAGAAACCGTGGGCATACATCAGGTAAGGGTAGAGGACGACGAGGACACCCAAAAGATGCCAACGGTAAAACCATGGAGTGCGACATATGTCACAGCACAACATTTACGACGCGAATGCCCCCAATGTGATGGAAGAGGCAGGGGTCCGTCAATGCATCTGGCTCAGATGGACTCCATCATACAGTATGTTAATTGGGAGTCGCTTTTAGCCGACCCTGCCGACGGCTCAGGCTCAGCCACAGTTGTTCATTTCATGGCTGCCAGGTATCTAAGTGCCGGCATGACCCGAGAATTACGCCGACGAGCTGTTTGAGAAGGTGTTCACTGGCCACAGCGACATCGACTTGGCAGAGTGGCTGGGTGTACCCATCGCGGGGCAACCTGCAGATATTGTGTTTGTCGAGAGCTTCCACGCGCCGTCGGAGGCGATGTCGGTGCGGCGGGGGCACCCGCAGACTCAGATTCCACCATTCCTGCAACAGATGAGGAAGCACATGCAATGCTTTATCCTCGGGTGGTCGGAAATCAGACAAACGCGGAATTAATCGATGGCGATCCTCTGCGGGGAAACCCGCGTGACGCTGGTGATCATCCTTTTCCCCGCTTCTTCTTGTCCTCTTCCGCTGCTGTCTTCCCCATCTTCCACCAACTCCCCCTGCTCATGAGAGGCGGAGGAGGAGGGAGGAGGAGGAGGAAGAGGAGGAGGAGAAGGAGAAGGAGGAGGCGAGGAGGCGGAGGAGGAGCAGGAGGAGGAGGAGGAGGAGGAGGGTGCCCCCAAGAGGTCTGGAGATCTTCCATGGGACTGGCTATTCGTCCTGAGTCTATGTTTGAAGGTCCAAGGGCCTTGCAGGGCCTGCGCGAAGGCTGGAATATACGGAAAACCTTCCCCGTGAGCTTCTCAAAACGTCTGGGATCTGGGCATCCCCCCCTTCTCCCCCTCCTCCTCCCCCCCCTCCACCTCCTCCTCCTCCTCCTCCTCCTCCTCCTCCTCCTCCTCCTCCTCCTCCTCCTCCTCCCCCTCATCTGGGAGGAGGAGGGAGGAGGAGAGGGGGGGGGGGGAGAGGAGGGAGGGAGGAGGGAGGGAGGAGGGAGGGAGGGAAGGGGGGGAGGATCGGGAGGGAAGGGGGGGGAGGAGGGAGGAGGAGGAGGAGGAGGAGGAGAAGGAGGAGGAGGAGGAGGAGGAGGAGGAGGAGGAGGAGGAGGCGGAGGAGCTAGAGAAGGGGCGCGTAGCGGCAGCCAGCCTGGCTCGGAGCCGCCCTCGGCCCCCAGCGGCGTGGCAGGACCTCAGTTGCCTTCCTTGGCATCCAGCAGCCTGGCCAGGTTGTTCGCCGAGGTGAGCGTGTCGGGGTGCCCGTCGCCGAGGACCTCGCGGCGCGCCTGCAACGCCTCGCGGAGGAGCGGCTCGGCGCCGGCGAGGTCCCCTGGTCCTGCAGCACCATGGCCAGGTTGTTCACCGAGGTGAGCGTCCTGGGGCGCCGGTCGCTGAGGACCTCGCGGCGTGCCTGCAACGCCTCGCGGAAGAGCGGCTCGGCGCCGGCGAGGTCCCCCTGGGCCTTCAGCAGCATGGCCAGGTTGTTCACCGAGGTGAGCGTGAAGGGGTGCCGGTCGCCGAGGACCTCGCGGCCAGGCTGCAACGCCTCGCGGTAGAGCGGCTCGGCGCCGGCGAGGTCCCCCTGGGCCTTCAGCAGCATGGCCAGGTCGTTCACCGAGGTGAGCGTGTTGGGTTGCCGGTCGCCGAGGACCTCGCGGTTAGCCTGCAACGCCTCGCGGAGGAGCGGCTCGGCGCCGGCGAGGTCCCCCTGGGCCTGCAGCCGCATGGCCAGGTCGTTCACCGAGGTGAGCGTGTCGGGGTGCCGGTCGCCGAGGACCTCGCGGCTAGCCTGCAACGCCTCGCGGAGGAGCGGCTCGGCGCCGGCGAGGTCCCCCTGGGCCTTCAGTAGCTTGGCCACCCTGTGTTTCAGTCGGATGATGTTCTGCTCTCCGTTGTCTTCATGATGGCTCTGCAACACCTTCCGCCCCTGCTCTGCCAACCAACCGCGCAGCGAGGAGCAGACGGTCGAAGTGACCGTGCCGAGGCCACCGTCCACCATCCGCACCTGTCCGAGGATGTAGTCACGGTCCTCGGGCTTGCTGACCTGAGCTTTGCGCGCGTCCAGGCCGGCGACGATGCCGGCGATGTCATCGAAGTGCTTCGTCAATAGCTCCTCGAAGCTGTTGACATCGGCGTGGGACAGCACGACGTGAAGCCGCGCTGGCTTGGCCAGCGCCTTCACCATCTCGAACATGCACCACGCGCGTGTCATGGCGCCTGGGCCGCGGCGCATCCAGTCTCCTATGTCGGGGCAAGTTTTTTTGTTGTTGCCCTCGTGGTTTTTTTTTCCCCCTCGGGGGGGTCGTGGCTTTTATTTTTTCCCTCGGCGGCTTTTATTTTTGTCCCTCGGGGCTTTTTATTGTTCCCTCGCGTTTTTTTTCTCCCTCGGGGGAGGGGGGGAGGGAGAGGGGGGGCGCGGAGGGGTGCCAGGGGGTGGCAGGGGCCTCGAGGCCCTCTCCAGGGGGGGCCGGGAATGGCGAGCTGGGGAGGCCTGGCGGGCGCTCCAGCTCGGTCCGGGCCCACCGGGGGCTCAAATTTGCCGGCCCAACGGACGGACAAGAGGCGTGCGAAGATGATCTCTGGTAATAGGTTTCGAGTAATTCTAATTCGCGCGCGCGTGGCGGCCTCGGGGTAAAGCCTCGAATACGTAAAATGCAATGAATTTGCTTCCGGTGCACTTCGTGTTGCCGGCGTTGTTGCAAGGAAGCCCGTTCCGAGCAAGCCAGCTCGCGACAACTTGACGACCATCGCAAATGCAAACGAACATCACCGAAGAAGTGCACGAAAATCGCATGTCAACAAAAATCGGACGTCGAGGACAATCGATTAAAAAGTAAACATATCGACCCACGAACTGGGAAAGAGATGAAAATGTGGAGCAGGGAAACGTTGCAAGATACCAAACTTGGGCGGCGGGCAATTACACGTCCGCTCCGCGCGAGTTTTTCTACGTGCGAAGTGCCCGACGACCTCATGTTAGAGATCCGCGTGGGCGACCAGGACACGAGAAACTAAGCGTTTCGCTCGGTACATCCCCAACAAATCCTCATGTTAGAGATACGCCGTCCTTGGCGCCAGAATCCTGACCGAACTGGTTTGGATCTTAAGCTCGAGCTGCCTGAACGCATAGTTCGGGCTAGTTGCAATCGAAACGCGCGGGGCGCTCGATCAGCTCGAGCCCAAGAGCCATTTCAGTTCCGAAGCCCTCGCTCGAGACATCCTCACAATTTGCTCAGGCATAGAGCCACACCACATGTTGGATATCCCCCTGTGTGGCCTGGACGCGTGAACACGCGCCAAATGCAATGCACAAAACGCACGTTACATCCCCCTCCGCGAAAACGAAAACAAGCATTACGCTAGAGACACCCTGAACAAATCATGCTGAAAAAATGTTTCGCTCGGGACACGTGAAAAGGGAAACGAGCGTTTCGCCAAAGACATCCTCAACACATCCTCATGTTAGCGACCCGCCTGGGCGACCTGGACACGTGAAAACAATCGTTTCGCTAAAGATATCGGTAACATACCTCCATGTTGGAGATCCGCGTGGGCGACCAGGACACGTGAAAACAAGCGTCTCCCTAGAGACATCCTCAACACATCTTCATGTTAGACATCCGCCTGGGAGACCTAGACACGCGAAAACAAACATTATACCCCTTGGGTGGCCTGGACACGTAAACACACGTGGTTCTGCTCGGGACAACCATGTTAGATAGCCCCCTTGTGGCCTGGACACGTGAAAACGCGTGGCTTGATTTCGGAACCACCATGTTAGATACCCTCCTGTGTTGGACGTGGCTCCAGCTCAGGACTGCCATGTTACATACCCCTTGGGCAGCGTGGACACATGAAAACACGTGGTTCCGGCTCGGAACTACCATGTTAGATACCCCCTGGGTGGCCAGGATACGTGAAAACACGTGGTTGCAGCTCGGGACCGCCATCCCAGAGACTTTCCCTGTGCGGCCTGGACACGTGAAAAAAGATCTGGTTCCAGCTAGAGGCAACCATGTTAGATACCCCGCTGGGCGGCCTGGACACGTAAAAACAGCCCGCTGAACCCACCATGACCCCCCTTTCTCGTTTAGTATATGAATTACATTGTTTTCCACTTTCCAGAGAGCCCCGACGGGGCCCCTCCCAGAGGCCCCCGCCGCATAGGTTCCCTTTGCTCACCGTGATCATAATCATACTCACCGCAACCATCATACTCATAATCGTCATGATATTTCCTCGTCAAACTAATCATTCTCATGATCATTTGCCATCAACACCATCATCAGCATCATCAACACACTCAACAACATGTTTGGCTCGAGGTCTCTGGTGTGCCCTTCCCTGAGCCCCTTCAGTATCCCTCGTGCCCGACTCAACACCCAGTACTCAACAGCCGCCGTGTCCAACACAACACCAAGTACTAAACAGGGTCCTGCTGCAAGACACCCTCCAAAAGGAGTTCTATTAAAATCCCGATCCCGCCCGCCGCCCGCCGCCCGCCCGCGCGCTCGCCCGCCGCCCGCCCCCGTTCTCTTTGTGTTCAACTCTTTCCGTGTCCAACGCAACACCCAGTATTCAACAGCATCCGTGTCCAACACAACACCAAGTATTCGACAGCCTCCGTGTCCAACACAACACCCTGTACTCAACAGGCTCCCGCTGCAAGACACCCTCCGTAGGAGTTCTATTGAAACCCCGATCCCGCCCTCCGTCCGCCGACCGCCCGCGCGCCGGCCCGCCGCCCGCCCCCGCCTTCGTTGTGGTCAATCGTCCCCGTGTCCAACACAACACCCAATACTCAACAGCCTCCGTGTCCAACGCAACACCCAGTACTCAACAACATCCGCATCCAACACAAAACCGTGTACTCTACAGGCTCCCGCTGCAAGACACCCTCCTGAGGAGTGCTAATGAAATCCCGATCCAACCTGCCGCCCGCCGCCCGCCGCCAGCCCGCCCGCCGCCCGCCCCCGCTGTCCTTGTGTTCAACCCGCTCCGTGTACAACAGAACAC